GGCTAGACTGTCCTGCCTTCTCTTCTTTCCCCAGTCCATCCTCGCTCTCCTTTTCTCCTTCTTTTCTCCACTTCCTCCTTTTGTCCGTGTGTATTAACTCAGCGAGTTTACCGAGGTCTCACCCTGCCTCTGACACTGTGAAAGGCCCTAACTAAGACACAGCCCTAAGCTTCTGTGCTCTTCATCTCTTGTGGGGAAGATGTGGAACCAGACAGTCACTATGGCTGGGGGGACTATGCTTATGTGAAACTGCAAGCACAGGAGTTTGGAGGAACCCCTTGCCTTGGAGGTAGAGCCAGGGAGCCTGCCTGAAAGAGGGACATTCTAAATAGATGGGGAAAGCTGGCACTTACTGCAGAAGAGTAAAAGACTAATATTTACCTAGTCATCAACCAAATTGTTGTTAGTTAAGAAGTTTATGGGACTGGCCCTCCTACAAGGCTCAGGGACCATCATAGAAGAGGGAACAGAAAGAATATAATAGCTGAGGATTGGGAGACGTGCAGCAAAAACATGTCTGCTGAATATGATGTGACCATTGCACTCACGAATTCACTGCAGCGGTGGTTACCTGCATACAACCTGTACAAGATTAGGCCAGTCAATATTTCATTATGGATAGGGGAGGGACCCATAAGGTCTCACTCTGTCCTAAGGGTCTACCAGCAGTTAATGGTTGCTGGGGGAGGGATGCCATTTTCTTCAGTGGTGTAAGTTGCCCATATTCCAATAACCGACCTGCCACCCATGCTTATGCAAGAAATCCTAATTAAACTCAGTGACCCCCCCCCCAACATACACACAAAGAAACGAGTTTGTCGGGCTGGGAATGTGGGCTCAGTTGGTAGAGTGCTTGTCTAACACTCTTGCCATGCATGAGCCCTGGGTTTGATTGCTAGTACCATATAAACAGTCTCATATACTTGTAATCCTAGTACTTGGGAGACAGAGGCAGGAGGATCAGAAGTTCAGGGTCATTCTTGACTTGGAATATAGAGAAGAACCTGCTGAGAAAACAAACGTCTATGGCCAGGCTAATGAAATGTGGTTCGTTGATCAGCTCCCTTCAAGGCATGAAATACTAAAATGATTTATGCGTGAACATTGTGTTGCAAGTATCACAGATTTTATATAGAAAATCCAAAACCTGAGTTTTTGGACCAGTCTGCACCGTACACACTACTGGGGCGTGCTACTGGAAGCTGGCTATGATGCATTTGGGGCCTTTCTGCTCTCTGTGGCCAAGATTGAAGGGGAACAGGACCAGAAAATGAAGACGTGACCCACACTCTCAGGTACATGCGCAGTCTGTTTCTCTGTCGTAGAAAGTGACTGAAAGTTAAACTCTCTCTCCTCCCATAGTTCCCAGGACTCACTTTGGTACATCTCTCTGATTACTACTCCCCATAATTTAATTCAAGACTTCCTTCTGGAGATAGGAAGTCTTGAATAGGGGCTAACTTTGAAATGGCTTCTCTTTGTCTTCTTGCTGTGGCTGTTTTCTAGATGATTTCTCTCTGTGCCTCTTCAGGACCCAGTACCCCTAACCCCTTCATTCCTTCTCTCCATTTCTACCTTCTCCTTTTGGAGGGTCAGAGCCCATCTGCTAGTACTGTTTTTTTTTTGTTTGTTTGTTTTGTTTTGTTTTTCTGTAGTGCTGGGGAACCAACCCAGGACCTTGAATGTGCCAGGGAAGCACTCTAAGACCTGCCCTACAGTAATACTTTCCCAGTCCAAACAGTAGTGTTATTTCTCAATCAGTAGCTTTCCTGAGTGACCTTTGGTGCTTCAAGTTAAATAGGTAGACCCTAAGTGATTTCAGAGGCTCCTCTCCAATTGCTGAATGTTCCTTCTATCTGTTAATGGCAGCACTCCTTCCCTCCATGGTTCAGCACTGACAGCACTGTGGAGGGCGGCCTCAGGTCAGACTGAGCAGCTGCTCTTTCTGCTTCATTCTTGGGTTTGGATAGCACTTTAGACAGTGTCTCTTGACTTTGTAAGCACCCCTTTCTATCCTCCCTTTTCTCGTCTCCTTCATCCTGTAATTCCCTGCTTTAGTGAACAGTGATAACCTTCATTTTTAAAAAATATATTTTTTATACTTTATTATTTTTATTTTATGTGTATGAGTGTACTGCATATATGTATATGAGTGCACCTGTGTCATTCAATGCCATGGAGGTCAGAAGAGGGCATCTGATTCCCTGAGTTCAGGACAGTTACGTAGCCGCCATGTGGGTGCTAGGACTCGAACCTGGGTCCTCTGCAAGAGCAGTCAGTGCTTTTAATTGCTGAACCATCTCTCCAGCCCCAACCCTTCTTCATTTTTTAACAGACTAACTGAGCACCTTCCCTGGGCCATGGACTCACCAACACAGCAATAAGCAAGGCAGATCCCCTCCTTCCTAGAGCTTAAGTTTGGTAACCCTAACAATTCATTTTGGTCCCTTTTTTCTTTCTTTTTTTGTGAGACAGGCTGGCCATCCAGTTGCTGTGTTGTCAGTTTGGCTTCAAATATTTAGTCCTCTTGTATCAGTCTCCCAATTGTTGAGTATTTATTAAATGCCATATTACAAGTCAAATACTTTATATATTTATCATTTTGTTTATTGTGAAAACTGCTATAGAACTAGTCATATCTTGACTGAAATGAAGGAAACTGAGTCTCAGATAGGTGGTGCAAGTTCCCCGAGGTCTCTCCAATAGTTAGAAATGGACTTGGGCTGTACCATCCCTGCATCCCTTCCAGTCCTTGAGCATCTGAACATCTAGATTTTGCCTTTATTATTATCATGCAAATGATTTATGTAATCTTGGAATTTGGTGAAACTTCCATGTGGAAGCACCTAAGGAATACTTGTAAGTATGCACATATATTGGAGGATTCTAGGGTCCACCTAGAAATGTGTCTATGCTTATAGATCTGGGAGAAGGGTATCAGCCAAGGGGCAGAAAGGGCTGTTCTGAGTATCGCAGGAGACTGAGAGCTAACCAGATGAAGATTAGATCCCCAAGGAGAGGTCAAAGTTGATAGTTGTTATGGTGATGGAGGGTCTGGGGGCTGGAGAGCCCCATCACACTGGAAAGAAGACACTTTGGGTAGAAAAGAGCCTAGTTCCAACCGATAGCTGCTGGGAGAGGGAGAGTCAGTTTTCTTTGAGGGTGTGATGTGTAGGTTGTATGGTAAAGGCATTTTTGTGGGTGTTATATTAGAAAGCAGGGTAGAGAATGACAGAGAAAAGAAGTAGGGCAAATATTACCCCCGAGTCCAAGACTTGGAGTGTCAAACACAGTGGCTAAAATGTGCACATTTGGGGTTTAGGAGTAGCTCAGTGGCAAAGCAAAAGTTTAGCATATAAAAGGCCCTGGGCTGGATCCCCAGTACACACAAAAAAGGGCTACAAAATGGGGGATGACATTGCATTTCTTTTTATTTTTTTACAAAATAATCTCACAAGGAAGACAAGACTGTGAATCCCTACTTAACAAGTGAAAGTATTTAAAATCAGAGAAGTCAGTCAACTCACCCTTCAGCACATGATCAGCACTAGAGAAGCAAGAATCAAACCTGATTTAATCCCACTGCTCCTCCAGCTGTACGTGGGATGTGATGAATGATTTCACCCCAGCATCATCTTTGCAACAAAGTGCAGCACAGTTCTCATTGACAGACTTAGCCACTGACATTTATGTGTGCTATGATACTTGTGGTGGGTGGGACACACTAGACTGACAACTCCAACTCTCAGTGGCTTGAAAGAACAAAGGTTCATTATGTCTGTCCTGGGATGGGGGAGATGCTAAAACTCTAATCTGAGTCTGGGACTGCCAGAGCACCAGAGCAGTACCTTTTTTTTTTTTTTTTTTTTTTGGTCTTTTTTGAGACAGGGTCTCCCTGTAGCCCCAGTTGGCCTAGAACTCATTATGTAGACCAGGCTGGCCTTGAACTCACAAAGATCTACCTGCCTCTGCCTCCCAAGTGCTGGGATTAAAGGCCTGTGCCACCACCCCTGACCTTTTTTTTTAACGTGTATGAGTGTTTTGCCAGCATGTATTTAAGTGCAGTGCCTGTAGAGGCCAGAAGACAGTGCTGGATCCCTTGGAACTAGAGTTACGGAAGGTTGTTAGGTGCCATGTGAGTACTAGAAACTGAACCTGGATCCCTCTGCAAGAGCAGCCAGGCCCTTAACTACTGAGCCATCTCTCCAGACACAAGCAGTACCAGGTTGAAAGTAGGCATGGCCACTTAGTCATATGACCCTCAACCAACAAAAGGATGGAGAAGTGTTTCCCATGGTGAAGGAAGGACAAGATATATTGGCAACTGACATTCAAATGGCTACAACTAATGATCAAAAGTAGCAGATGCTTAACTTTAGGCAATATAAGTTTTGATACTCTCAAGGTAATAGCAACACTATCCCTTTTTGAAAGTGAGAAACAGTTTGAAAAAGTAAAACGTAGGGACTGCTTTTGCAGAGAACGTGGGTTTGGTTTCCAGCACCCATATGGCAGTTAATAACTGTCAATAGCTCCAGTTCCAGGGGATTTGATACCCTCTTCTGGCCTCTGGGGGCACTACATAAATGCACTTATGCAAAACTCACACACATTAAAATAAAAATGAATAAAATTTTTAGAAAGAACTGAGATTACTGGCATGTGCTATCAAGCCTGGGTTTAAAAAAAGAGTAAGCACTTTGCATAGATCTTATCAGTTCTGTAAGATTCCAAAGTCATTGCTCTTACCAACTAAAGAGCCATTTTAGCAGCTATCAGGGTAGTATTTGGAAAGAGCAATGATAGACTAGTCTACTCCCTGGGAGAAATAAGCCCTGAAGGGTTCAGCCATTGAAGTCACACCTCAGCTAACTTATGTAACCCTTTTTGTGCATATTTACTCATTCATTTCCATTGGAGAAACCCTGTTCACACTTTCCGTGGTCTGGGATGCCCTTCTCCCCTTAGCCTGAGGGCATTTTCACAGACGGCTGCCTCACCAAGCAGCTCATGTTCCACAGCATTCCGCAGGAGACTGGTGCTCTGTAGAGGCCATTGGGCTTCTCCTGGACCCAGTGTTTCGTGGCATTGCGGAAGGCAGCCCAGTGCACTATGGTCACTTTGCAATGATTCCTGTAACCCAGCATGTCCAAAAGGTGGAGCAGTTCATCCTCTGCCAGCCCACAGTGCGAGATACACAGCAAGCACAGGACATCGCCAACCCAGTCATTCAACTCTGTTCAGACACAATGAGGGACAGAAATATAAACAAGCATGAAACAGTGAGTGTGCTTCCTTGACGTGCACTTAAAGACACTATTTAAGGCAACTCTTCATTCTCCACCTGACCCTTCCTTAGGTTTTTGTCCTATCACCAGCTTTATGAGCAGTTGAATATAGAGATAGCCTTCAGACCACAGAGAAACAAAGCATCATGGTCTACTACTACCTTACATGGATTGGAGAAGGAACCACATTATCTGTAGTATTGAAGCAAATGCAGATTTGAAGCCCAGCTAGTAAAGCTTCCCCCAAAGTTGACCTAGCTCAGCCAAGCTTTTCCTAGACCTATGGCTCAGATCCCATGGCCGGGGGGCGGGGGGTCCTGGGAAGTGCTAGAGATACAGCAGTCCCTAGGGAAAGAGCCCAGGGCTTTCCTGTGCAGTCCTATAAATGTAACTGCACAAAATGGGTTAGGTAGCCTGAGCGACTCTTCTAAGGGACCTGGCTTCTGCCTCTGTGGAGGTGGGGAGGGCACAGTAAACTTCAAATCCATTTTCTTAACAAAAATGAAAGCTCTGGAGTGGAAATTCAGCATATACCACAGTACTAATCAATGTATCCTGTATTCCAAACACTTTCTGCTCCTCTTTCCTCACCTGAAACTCTCCAAGCCCACTTCAACCTAGGTTCTGTTCCCTCCAGAGAAGATAGGGTTAGCAGAAACAAAAAGAGGAGCAAGTTTCAAAACAGACTTTTAAGGCCCAGAGCAGAGACAATGGCTTGAGAATAAAACACTCAAAAGCTGACTCTTGAATATCACAAATTCTTGACCAAACCCATAGCCTCAATTACAAAATGAGCTAACAAGAACATTTTTCCCCACTTAAGAAGAAAAAAAGCTCAATTGAAAAAGGAGAATTGAAAAGGCGGGGTGGGGGGGTGTCCGGAGCCGCTAATCATTCAGCTGTGTCAGGCTTGTTTACTGAGTGTGTGTTATGCACACCAGTATCTAATCTGCCTTATTAGGAGGAATATGTTGATATGGAGAGCCTCACAAAACCTGCAATAGTGGAAGCCTTTGATCTGACTGCTCCTTGACCCTCAGATACAGGTGGGGAAAAACAGCAGTTGTAACTAATTGAGTTCTTCTGTATAAAAAGACAGTACTGAAATAAATCGAGGCTGGCAGTATTCACTGTGAGCCCTCCCAAGCATCTTTTCTGTTTCCTTTCCTTTGTTTCAATCCTCACTCCCCCTTTCAGGTACTGTCCGTTTTGGCCAGCTGGCACCCACAGGGGGGGTCGCAGCAAGGATGACACGCTGCGCCAGCAGGGGGCAGTAGAGACACACCAACCAAGAACAGACGGGACACTGCACTCCTTAGAAGGAACCACAGAAGAGGGACTTGGAGTGTGGTCCATCTGAGACCATGGCTACCACAGCAGAAGTCTATGCAGGGACAGATGATAGCCAAGGACACCCAGCACCAAGGTCTAAGCTCCACCCAACAGAAACATGGGAAGTATTTGTTGAATCCTTGCCTGTCTGAAAAGTCCTCTGTTGACACGGAATTGATAGAATTAACCTGAACTCACTGGCTAGGCTTGTGCTGTGAATAGGACTGTGAGATCAAGAAAGAAGTTTATATTGAGTCATAAAAGTACTAAGGGCACAGTTCTCAGAAACCTGAACAATATGACTGAAATTTGTGTCTAATACAGTTCTCTTCATCATCCACATACATCCCTCTAGACAGTTACCAAATTAGCCATAAGAACATGAGATGTCCAATTAAATATGAATTTTAGATAAACCAATTTTAGTAATAATGTGCCTCATGCAATATTTGAAACATATTTCTACTAAAATATCATTACTTTCTTTTCATCTCTATCCCCTAAAATATTATTTGAATTTGATCTGAAATTCAAATTTAATGAAGTCCTGTATTTTCTCTGACAACTACCTCCCTAGACTCTGTTTCCCAGGCAAAAGTGCACCACAGACCTTTTTCTCTGTGGACTTCCACCAAAGATATCAACACTTCCCAAGGCCTACCGTTTCCTGGAGCCACAGTGTCTAAGTTTGTCCCTTTTTGCCCCAAAGTCCAGCCATAGTCTTCAATCCAGTGCTGCAGAACCAACTCCCAGAGCTCCTGGACAGAGGCCACCTCTAAGTACTCTCGCATACACTGGAATTCATTGCGGTAGATTCTGCATTCTTGCAGCTCACTGGCAATGACTGTAAGTTTTAAAGGAGTCAGGTGTGGTTTTTTTCCTCAAAATGAGTCTGTTCTGCCAGAAGCGGTCTTGGTCAGGGGTAGAGAGATGCTGTCTGAAGATGCTGAACTTGGTGTCTTCATCCCCTGTGCTTGAGAGCTCCATGGTCCTCACATCCGGACGGGCACACAGCGACTTGCAAGATAGGCTGGAGGAGATGGTGCTCAGGATGAATTTGCAATGAGGAGGGAGGGAGTGTGGCAGCCAGGAAAAATCCTTCGCCTGATGGAGACATTGAACACTTCAGACTTTAAAATTCCTTTTGCTGATAGTTTTCACACTTAGAGTAGATGGAATATAGGGCATAATTATGGGGTATGGTTAGGAGTGTCATGGATAGTGAACATTTTGGTGGTAAGAAATACCAGTCATACTCAATAAAGCCATATTTTACTGAATCGCCTATAATGACTCTGATAGTGCAAATCTGGACTCTCAAACAGGTTTCTACAAATAAACAATTTTTAAAATCACAAACTTCTAAAGAATGGCCTATAATGACAATCAGAGAAAACCTAAGAGAAGGCAAATTGAACCATTAAGCAGAAAAAGATGATGTGTTAAACAATTGTTCTTTGTATAATAAAACTATCAAGTTAAATAAATACCTAATAAGATCTCTTGATTATTTAAAAACTTTTTAATTACAGGGCTGGAGAGATGGCTCAGCAGTTAAGAGCACTGGCTGCTCTTGAAGAGGACCCAGGTTCAGTTTCCAGCACCCACAAGGCATTTAACAACCTTCTGTAACTCCAGTTCCAGGGAATCTGATGCCCTCTTCTGATCTCTGTGGGCATTATACACACATGTGCATTTACACACATGCAGGCAAAACAGTTATACATATAAAATAAAAATGAATAAATTTTTAGAAATTTTTAATTACATTTAAATTTTTATTTTGTGTACATATGTATATGTGTGTGCTCATGTTATGGAGGTCAGAGGACAACTTTCTGGAGTTCATGCTCTCCTTTCACTATGTGGGTCCCAGGAATCAAACTCAGGTCATCAGGCTGCACTGCAGGTGCCTTTATCCACTGAGTCATCTTGACAGCCCTTTTCTTGATTCCTTTAGCACACTTCTAGAACTCTTTGCCTAGTAATAACAACTACCACATAATCTCTGCTTTTTCTGAGTCAGAAACTGGGGAGATATTTGTGTGATATATCACTAATATCTGTCATCCCCCACTAGAATGAAAGCTCCCCTTCTCTACAAGGACCATGTCTATCTTTGTGCACTGGCCACAGTAAGTGGTCAATAATTATTATGGCTGTCATATAGTAAATTAAAACCTGAATAACAAAACAATATGGTATGTAACTTCAGGGACATAAGCATGTGCCATGAAATGTTGCATAATGTGATTTTGATCAACAATGGACAGAACATTCAACAGTGGTTCCATAAGACTATATATGACCTAATGACATGGTAACCACCTAGTTTAAGTATGCTATGATGTCTGCATCATGACAAAACTCTCCCAATGATCATTTCTCACAAGTCCCCATCATTAAGCAACATATGGCATATACATACCTCCATAGAAAAAAGGCTAAACAGCAACAGAACAGTTAACAGTGGGGAAATTATGAGATTTGTCTCTTCTATTTACCATATCTTCTTAAATATTTTTATTTATTATTTTTATTTTATGTGTATGAGTGTATTGCCTACATGTATGTGAGTGCACTTGTGTCATGCAATGCCGCAGAGGTCAGAAGAGGGCTTCGGATTCCCCTGGAACTGGAGTTAAGGATGGTTCATAGCTGCCATATGGGTGCTGGGAATCGAACCCAGGTCCTCTGCAAAAGCAGTCAGTGCTCTTAACTGCTGAGCCATCTCTCCAGCCCCCATGTTTACCATATCTTCTATAAGAGACATCTTACATCATTTATTGATTACATACTTTTTTTCTTTTTTTTTTTTTTTTTTTGGTCTTTTTGAGACAGGGTCTCCCTGTAACTCCAGCTGGCCTGGCACTCACTATGTAGACCAAACTAGCCTTGATCTCACAGAGATCTGCCTGCCTCTGCCTCCTGAGTGCTGGGACTAAAGGCACGTGCCACCACACCTGGCTCAATTACACACTTTTTTGGGGGGACAGGGTCTCACCGTGTAGCCCTCGCTAGTCTGGAACTCACTATGTAGACCAGGCTGGTCCTGAACTTACAGAGATCCACCTGCCTCTCTCTCCCAGATGCTGGTATTAAAGATGTGTACCACCACACCCAACTTGATCACATACATTTTTCTGCTTAAACTGCTTCCCAAAGTACTGGCTGCCAATGTTCCGTTGTTCCAGTATTATTTCTAGCAGTAGAAAAACTGATGATGGCAACCAGTGAGTGGGCTTTAGGATATGCAAAATCAATGGAGCTGAGGTGGATGAAGCTATAAAACAAAGACTTAGGAGAGGCTCATTTGATGATGTTCAAACTGTGAAAACGGGGTGGACCCCAGCATGAGCCAGTTTCTGGATCTAGACTGTCTACATCTGATTCCTTTTATCTTTATTTGTATTTTTTTTGCGTTGTGTGTGTGTGTGTGTGTGTGTGTGTGTGTGTGTTATGGAAGTCCAAGGACGACTTGCAGCAGCTAGTTCTCTCCTTCCACCATATGGTTCCTGGGGATTAACTCAGACTGTCAGACTTGGCAGTGGCAATCACCTTTACCCACAGAGCCATCTCCCCAGCCATGCACATTTGATTTCTGAGCCCACCACTTAATTATCTTTGGACTTTAGACAACACTCAGCACCTCTGTCCCCACTGTGCAACCAGGGCTGATAATGAGCGATCTCTTCTTGTATAGTTGTGTGCACTTCAGACTTTGGATTCTGGAAACTGCCAGAAATAATGTGTAAAGAAGTTTAAAGCTTTCAAAATGGTGCCCACCCCATTGTAAATGTCTAATAAAATATACAGCAGCAACTAAAATCAATGATGGGTAGTCCCAGAAACATGCAATACAATAGAAAAGTATTACAGACACCCGAAACAATGGGGTCCTTTTTATAAAATGTTACTTTAAAACTTGTTACCTTCTGACCTGAAATCCCATAAATACAAACCAACTCTTCAATTCCATCTAGTACATGTAGACATGGCTTTAAGCTGATGGAGGCCATGAACACTTCCATAAGAAGTGAAAACACTAAGACATTTGAGCCTTCCTTAAGAAAATCCATTTCAAGCTGAGAACCTACAATATAGAAGTTTTTAAACAGGTGAAAATGTTTCCATCAATGCTGAAATGTGCTATCGGGCTGGAGAGACGGAGAGGTTGTGCTATGCACACCTGCACAAGCTGACCCAGGAATACACATTTGATTGGCTTCCTCAGGACATCAGCACAAAGGGGAATTGTCCAATACATTTTCAGGATTTCATATAAAAATATTGGGAGGTTGGAGTTGGGTGTGGTGGCGCACACCTTTAATCTCAGCACTTGGGAGGCAGAGGCAGGCATATCTCTGTGAGTTTGAGGCTATCCTGGTCTCAAGAGTGAGTTCCAGGCAGCTGGAGCTACAGGGAGACCCTGTCTCAAAAAGACCAATATATATACGGAGGAAAGCCAGGAGTGGTGGCGCATGCCTTTAATCCTAGCACTCGGGAGGCAGAGGCAGACGGATCTCTGTGAGTTCGAGGCCAGCCTGGTCTATATAGCGAGTTCCAGGATAGCTGGGGCTACAAGGAAACCCTGTAAAAAGACAAAATATGGGGCTGGAGAGATGGCTCAGTGGTTAAGAGCACTGACTGCTCTTGCAGAAGACCCATTCCCAGCACTCACATGGTGGCTACAAACCGTCCTTAACTTCAGTTCCAGGAGAATACGAAGCCCTCTTCTGACTTCCGCAGCATTGCATGACACGGGTGCACTCACACACATGCAGGCAATACACTCATACACATAAAATAAAAATAATAAAATATATTTTTAAAAAGACAAAAAAATACACATATATATATTGGGAGGGGAATGAATGTGGGTACATGTTTGTGTGTACACAAACACATATGTGTGACAAGAATATGGAGGCCAGACGACGTCAGTGTCTGGAGTCCTCCTCAACTGTTCTCCACCTTAGTTTTGTTTTTTTGTTTTTTTGTTTTTTGCAGGGGCGGGGGAGGAGTTGGTTTGGTTTGGTTTTTTGAGACAGGGTCTTATCATGTAGCCCTGGCTAGCTTGGAGCTCACTATACAGACCAGGCTGGCCTCAAGCTCACAAGAATCCACCTGCCTCTGCCTCTTCAGGCTAGGATTAAAGACATGCACCACGATGCCTGGCTCTACCTTAGTTTTTGAGACAGAGTCTCTCACTGAACCTGGTGCTCACCGATTCAGCTAGACTGACTGGTCAGTGAGCACCAGGGATCCTCCTGTCTCTGCCTCCCCACCTCTGGGATTACAGGTACACGCCATTATACAAGGCTTTCTGCATGGGTGCTAGGGATCTAAACTAAGGTCATCAGGTTTGCAAGGCAGGCACTCTGTGACTGATCCATCTCCCTGGCCCCTAATAATATTTTTTATGATCCACAGCATTACTCTCATTTTCCAAAGTCATGTTATAAAGACTTTGGAGGAGGGAAGTTGGTAAGATGATTCAAATGGGTAAACTCTGAGCCTGACAACCTGAATTCAATTCCAGAATCCACATAAAGTTAGAAGAAGAGCTGACTCCACAAAGTTGTTCTCTGACCTCCACACATGCACTGTGCTACACATGCACACACACACACACACACACACACACACACACACACACACACACACAAACACTTGGCTGGGAAGACAGAGAAACCACATGATTTGTGAAATTTCTGCAGCTTCTTAACGCCAGGAGCCTGTTTAGGGGACATAGCCCCACCATGGACTCTTCAGGCAATGAGGCAATGAACACATAGAGTCTCCTGCCCACTGCCTAATCTTTTTGAGCCTAGCTCATCGTTTTTTTTGTTTTTTTTTTTTTGTTGTTGTTGTTTTTTTTCAATACTGGGGATTGAACCTAGGGCCTCACACATGCTGGGCAAGTGCTCTACCACTAAGCTAACCCCAGTCCTCTTAGCCTATTTTAAACCCTGCCATAATCTTCTACCCACAATATTAGACCCTAGACCTTGGATTCTGGAAATTTCCAGAGAGAAGCCATGAATTAATAAAAGGCAAAGGAGCTGGGCATGGTGGCACACAGCTTTAATCCCAGCACTTAGGAGGCGGAGGCACACAGATCTCTGTGAGTTCAAGGCTAGCCTGGTCTACATAGCAAACTCCTGGTCAGCTGGTGCTACAGGGAGACCCTGTCTCAAAAATTCCAAAAAATAAAAATAATAAAAAGCAAAGGAAGTAATTGTAGAGGACTGTCAGACTGTACTTAAGTGACCTAGTAGTAATGACCCCAAATTGCAATCAATTCCCTAATATTCCAGGAGTATTTTACTTCTTACAATTCTGCTTTGATTTTATTTTTCAAAAAACAGTGTTTCCTATGGAAAACAGGGCATATTAGTATCTAGAACATCATGTCCCACCTTTATGAATTAAATCTCTCAGATACAATAAGATCATTTTAGAGCCATTAAAAATACTTGTTCAACAAATATTTGTAGGATGTCCATTATGTTAAGGTTCTGTGATCAATGCCGAGGAGACAAAATGATCTGCGATATAAAGTGAAAGACTTAAGGGAAGTAGAGATGGGTTCTGTATAGGAACATTCATGTTTCAAGGCAGAAGAGGAGTCCAAAGGCTACAGGAGTTTGATGTAAAACCATCATAATGAAGACAAGCTCCAAGCATAAGACATTTGAGCTCCTCAGAGAATGCTCAGACAGACATAAGGGGAAGGACGCACCATCAGGTCAAGGTGTAGGCAAAAGCCTGCAGGCAGGAAAGTACAATGAATGCTGGGAAAACTAGAGGTTGTTTAGAACAGCAGTTCCTATGGGCTCATGTAGGAATTCTAGACGTCCTACAACACAGGACAGTCACATACAATAGTGCTTTGTCCATAAGTCTGCCCAACTTTCAAATGCCTTGTCAGCCACAATTAGCTAACTAATTCTATTTTAAATGTAAATGAAAAATGTTTTGTCCCATTTTAAAACCATATATCAGTTTTTCAGAATGAAAGTATCATATAAAATGATGCAAGATTCTTTATAGCTCCATTTGAAATGATGTCAAAATTTGTTCATCATTTTGGAAAATCATGACCCCCAAAGCAACAATGTCCAGGATGTTTGAATGTTAAACAAAATATACCTTTATCACTCTACCTACAGAGTGATACTATTTTCTGAGTGATTTCTTTTTAATACAGAGCCACTGTGTGTTCTATTGAAATGATGTCTGAGCAGTTACATATTAAAATACATATTATTTTATATTATTCTCTATAATTTATTACATCATTTAAAAACTTTTTTATTTTACAAAATAATCACAAAGCTAACTTGGATACCACCATACCCAGAAAATGAGTGAATTTTGGAAAAAGGGTTTCTTAGCAAGCATGTAGTATGGTCCAAAGCCCTCTTTTGTAGATCAGGGAACTAAGGACTAAAGAGGACTTGAACACACAGCTCATCGGGTGTAAATTGTCTTAAAAACTACTTTTCTAAGAGTGTAGTTTGTTCTCAAGCTATGTATGATCACCATTTCTCAGTATGTATAACAGTATTTGGGGGGGCACTGAGATGTGGATCTTTTGCTACTTCCACAAAGCTGGCATACATCTTAAATGGCAAAATGGAAGGGAATGAGTCCCAGGAATACACACTGTCTGATGATCATATAGCATAATATCACAACAATAACCAGCCAAAACAATCCTGAGCAAAAAATACTTGCTCAAAGATGATGCTTACAGATTTTTATCTATATTTGTTGAAGAAAAAGATACATGTCAGTGTTTTTAAAAATACATTGGGGTGACCATAACTATTTTTAATCAAACCGATGTTAAAGGTAAGGTCGGCATCAATAGTATTGAAAAATGATCCTAAACATTTCTCTTTATTCTGGCAGAACCAATCCATCTCTATTAAATGGCAATGGCCTACTGCCAATCTAAACTCAGATATCTCAAATGTTTATATTCCCACTTAACAATTTACCAATAGAAAGACTTGCTCACTGTGTGTGTGTGTGTGTGTGTGTGTGCGTGTGTGTGTATGTGTATGCAAGCATGTGCATGGACTATGAGTATAAAGGCCATCATTCAACACAGATTTAGTGGGAATCTTCCATGCCCTGGGTATATCAATAATCAATAAAACAGACATGATCAGGGGCTGGAGAGATAGCTCTGTGGTTAAGAATGCTTACTGCTCTTGCAGAGGAACCAGGTTTGGTTCCTATTACCATCATGGTAGCTCATAATCATCTGTAACTCCAGATCTAGGAGATCCAATACCCTCTTCTGGCCTCCACAGGCATTGCATGCATGTGGTACACAAGTATATGTAGGCAAACACTCATTCACATAAAATAAAAGTAAATAAAATCATTTTGAAAAACAGACATAATCTCTGAACTAACAGGGCTCGCAGAGGAAGACAAACACTAAAAACATAACACTAGGACCCCTTGAAGTCACCCAAGTGACCAAGGAGGGCAAGCTCACAGTATCTGGAGGGATATACCCACATGAAGGGCAATAAGACTGGGGCTACACTGGCTGTCAGTTAGGGAGAGGCATCCATCTGCCTTCTTCCAGAGAAGGTGGCCTTTGAATGGCAGCTTAAAGGATGAGAAATATTTCACCACCAGAGAAAAGGGTGCTTCAGAAGAGAAGTGAATGAATTATAGTGCTGGGTCTACTCCAAAAAACCAAACCAGTGGAGCAAAGGGCAAGAAGCCAGGCTGGGAAGTTAGCAAGGCCCAGGACACAAAGTCTGGTAAGGCCTACCTGGGCTTTCTACCCATGTCACCTCACCAATGCACAGGCAGATTTTCCTAAGAGTCAATGCTGGGTGAGGACCTAGAAGGAAATCTTTCAAAAGACTGAGATATTCCTGTTGCCTTGAGGAGGCTAAGCAGTACTGAGGACAAAGAACTGTAAAGTCAACAGGCTAGAGCTGGAACTCCCTGCTCTGACCACATGCAGCTGCCTGGCCTTGCCATCCTGAGCCTCAGTCTCCTCATCCAGGATGAGGGTCTGACAAGACAAAAGTAAAGTGCTTAATACTGCCTGGTGCTCAGGGGCCCTTCAGTGGAATTTGTTGTTTCCTAGGACTGCCACCAGGTTCCACAGAATACCATGGCTGGGAATCGCATCAAGAAGAAAAAGCGTGACTCTACTCTGACCCCTACAAAGCATGTCACAAAAAGGACACCAGCGGCCAGCAAGACATGGGAGGTCAGGAGAATGGGCTACAGGCAATTCTCCTCCACAAGGTACCTTGATCCGTGTGGCCAGAGAAGCAGAAATGTACCACATGGGGAATTCGGTGTCCCAGAGAGGGAGGACCTCTCCTCACACCCCACAAAGAGCTGCCAGCAGATGCAGAGATCCGAGGTAGGTAGCAGGAAAATGAGAGGCAAAGTTGCTGACTCTGCAGTGCGCACCTGTGTTCTCGCAGCAGCAGCTCCACCCTTGCACCCACACCCACCACAGCCCAGAAACCCAGCTGTGCTGGGAAGCCCAGGCAGCTCTGAAAATGGCCCTGTGACTAGTGGCTAGCGACTCCCTCACCCTTCTAGCCTAGCCAGACTGCAGTGATGACAGCTGTTGGCTTTCCCGTTGTAGCCTTTGTCTCCTTCATCGAGGTAATGAATGGGAGTGTCTTGTTTCCTTGGGAAGGTGCCTGCTGCTTCTTTCTCTAGCTCTGGAGGAATACTGATCTCAATAATAAATGACAGCAACAACAGGATAATGATAGCAGCAGTGTGCCATTGCCATTTCTTTACATACATTCTCTGCTCTCACACAGTCTTAAGCGGCAGGTTTTACAGATCAGAAACTGGGGCATACAGCACTTGAGTAAACTGCTAAGGATCACTCAGCCGGTAAAGAGCCAGAGCTGTGGGTCAAATCCAGAGCCACAGAGTTACAAGGAGGGATGCTCCTTTAGGGAGAGGAGGCATTGGGTACTCATAGGCTGTTCCTCAATTTATCCTGCTGCTACCAGGCTAAAAACCTGCTTGTTTGAACAACAGCGGCTGTCTTTACTAGGAACTTCCTGCAACCCAAAACACACTCGTTAAAATAACAATTCGCTTAGGGAATAAAATCATAATTGGGTGTGTTCAGCCGAGTTACATCATCAGCTGCCTAGCCCAAGTGAACACCTTGGAGACATGCCAGAGCAGGACTAGGAGGAGCCTTTTGGTGACAGTCACACCTGCTTCTGCTGACTCTGATTTTACCTGCTTCACATGCCCAGGAGGAGGTACAACTCAAGAAAACTCAGCCATGCAGGCTCACCCCTGCTCATACACCCATGTGGTGTACAGAAAGAGACTTGAAAACCTGCCCACCCATGCTAATTATATGCACTCATCCAGAGTCACTCTGTGGTACCCTCAGACTCACTCAGGACCTACAAGCACACACAGGTACACAAGAAGAGATATGTCACCAGCAGGCAAAGCCAGATGCATAGGAACATGTAGATAGATGGCAGGTGCGGATCAATGATAATCGCTAATGCTTATTAGAACTTGCTGTACGCCAGGCACTGCACGGCAAGCCTCTGCCTTTCATGCTTGATCCTAGTTAATCCTCTTAATGCCCACGAGGCACTTTTTTTTAAATCCGCATTTGACAAACAGAAAAACAAAACTGGGTTAGGCAGGCTTGTGATGCCAGCACTTCAGAGGGAAAGGCAGGAAGATCAGGAGTTCTAGGACATCCTTGGCTACATAGACCATCTCAAGAAAAGAAAAGAAAAGAAAAACAAATAGGAAAACCGAGCCACAGAGAGTTACAGTAACTCACCTAAGGCCACACGGCTGATGACTCGTGGCACAGGTTTGGATGCAGGTGCTCAGGCTCCCCACTGCTCCCAGCACAGAAAGAAGCACAGCAGGTCCACAGACTGCCCACACTGCTAGCACACACCTTGAATCTCAAATATCACACATCTACAGCAGACTCCTGCTGTCCTTCAATCTGCTTCCCCTGCCTGCCCAGCAGTACTGCCTGTCTCAGTGAAGAGTCTCCACCCTTCCTGAGTTTCCTAATGCCCAGAGCTGGGAGTTACCCTTAGTTCCTCCCGTTCCTTCAACCCACGTGCAATTCTGAAGCAAATTTTCAATCCACCCACAGCCTTTTCCACTGCTATTGCCTTCAGCCAAGATGTTGATCAGCAGCTCTTGCTAGGACCGTTTGAACAACCTCTAGCAAGTGTCCCTGCCTCCAAGTTGGCTTCCCTACATCCATTTCCCATACATCAGATTGATTCAGTATCCAGTCATGTAATTCCCCTGCTTAAAACCCTCCATCGTTCTCCTACTGCACCTCCATCATTCCCCTACTGCATGTAACAGAATCCACATCTAATGTTCTGGCCTACCAAGTTCCCACATAAAGCAAGCAGCCCTGCCCTTGTTCCTGCTTTGGCTGACAGACCACGTAATCCATTGCAGTCTGACCACACGAGCCCACTATCCATTTCTGACTCATTCTACTGCATTTCCAGCTCAGGAGCTGCAGCATATCCCATCCTTCCCCTTTCCCTGGAATGTTCTTTCTTCTGATGTCCACATGGTTGACCCTTTTTGACAGTAAGATGTCCCCAGAGAGTGTACAGAGAGGAAGGCTACCTGTCCCACCAATGCTATTCCTTCATAGGGAGAAGTCAGCCTTCTAGACCCACCTGATGACTAATGTGGACAACTTCTTACCAAGTGGATTGGGGGGTGGAGTCCAGAGGGAGGCTTTGAAGGGACAGTTGTGTCCTTTCCACTCTTCCCCGCTACCTCTAGCCCAAGGCAAAAGAGTCAGGCCTTTCTTGAGAATAATAAGCCTCAAGGTGGAAAGAATCTGCTTCCCCAAGCCACCATCAGGGGGAAGGCTGCTTCTTATCCCTTTACGAGGCACATACTAGACTGTTACACAGGAAGAGTGAGAAAGAAGAAATTCTGAGAGGATGAAGCAGGGCGTACAAGGGAGACAATATGAGGTTTGCTTAAAACACATGAGCAGAAGAGAGAGCTGCTCATTTCTAACTCATCCAGTACGTTTTTACATGTGTGAGTATATTGCCTGCATGTATGTAAGTGCACCCATGTCATGCAATGCCCAAGAAGGTTAGAAGAGGGAGTCAGATCCCTTGGAACTGGAGTTACAGATGGTTGTTAGCCGCCGTGTGGCCATGTGGGTGCTGGGAATCAAACCCGGGTCCTCTGCAAGAGCAGCCAGTGCTCTTAACTGCTGAGCCATCTCTCCAGCCCCATTATCTGATACTTTTAAAAAATTATTTTTGAGTCAGATGTGGTGGTGCATACCTTTGATCCCAACACTTGGAAGGCAGGGGCAGGTGGATCTCTGTGAGATCAAGGCAAGACTGGTCTACATAGTTCCAGGCCAGCCAGGGCTACAGGGAGACCCTGTCTCAAAAAGACCAAAAAAAAAAGAACAATACTTAAAATTTTTTAAATTATCCTATGGGTCATGGTTCTACTCTCAAGGGAGAAGGATGCATTTTTGAACATTTTTTTAAAATCTTACATTGAGATTCATGCCCGTATCAAAACCAATTTTATTTTCTGGTCTGAAGAACATGCTGGTTTTGGTCTGACAAATGATCTGATATATTTAAAGCAGGCATGTTCATACTTATATAAAGGAAGAGCAGAGTATAGAAAGGGTATCTGGGGGCTGAAGAGATGGCTCAGAGGTTAAGAACACTGGTTGTTCTTGCGGAAGACCTGGGTTCAAATTCCAGCACCCACATGGCAGCTAATAACTGTCCGTAACTCCAGTCCCAGGGGATCCGACAGCCTCTTCTGACCTTTGCAGGCATTGCACAACAAGGGTGCACTTACCTACATGCAGGCAATACAGGCATACACATAAAATAAAAATAATAAATGAAATTTAAAAAAAAAAGAAAGAAAGAAAGGGTATCTGGAGGATCATGGCACTTTCTGAGCACTGGAGGCCGGGCTCCCTACCATGGGTTTGGTGCTGCAGCTCCAGGATGAAGTAATGGATCATAGACATGATGTCACTGTTTTCACAAGTGCTTCCCACAAAGTATGGGATCATCAGCACATCTGGATATTTGCTTTTAAAATCATTCACCCAGTTAGCAAGCAGAGAAGAATTCCCACAGCCATGTTCTCCAGACAGGAGCAAAATAGACTTGTAAGTTGGAAGGGAATTAGTTCTGGAAAAGAAAGTGATAAATGGTAGTCAAGAATTTTTACCAAGAAAGAGAAGGAAGAATTTTTGTGGATACCTTTTGCCTCTAAGAGAAATGAAGCTTTGGCCTCAACTTTGGCATCAATGAACTTCAAAGAAGCCATTCCTCCTCTGGCTATGGCTTTGTTAAGAGGTCAGGTGAGGAGAGTGGGGACAGTGACTCTGGAAGGCTCCCCTGGCTAGACAGACCCTAGGTTGTCCAATATGAATTTCAGGTATCATCAAAGGCTCAAGGCCTAGGGATAAAAATGTCACACCACCCATCAAACTGTCTTGCTCATCTACCATTCTTCTACCCCTGGCTACTCCCTGGGATAGCATCACACTGGAAGAGAATAAAAACCAGAAGCACTCATACACAATAATTCTTATCAGTTCTGCAAACCAGGAAATTGGAATTTCAACTTACTTGCACCCTCACTGGTGACTGAGAAGTAGCCTGCTCTTTTACCAGTGTGTGTGAGCTGGTCAGTCTATGTGAATATGACATCTATGTACTGGCAAGCACGTGAGCTCACTAACTTGTCTTACTGCTTTTTGCTTTTTTTTTTTAATGAAAAGCATCTGGATATGCAGAGGAATCTAAGGCCTATCAATATCATGACGTGGAAACTCTTAACCTTGTGGTTTATAGTTTAGTTAGTTATTTATTTTTGAGACAGAGTCTCATGTAGCCCAAGCTACCTCAAATTTGCTACGTAGCCAAGGACGATCCCAAGCTCCTGATCCTCCTACTTCTTCCTCCCAAGTGCTGGGACTACAGGTATGCACCATCACACTAGACTGTGACTTACAATTATGATTTGATAGGTATATATCAGCTGGGTTTGAAGGTGCTAACTTGTAATCTTAGCTACATGGGAGGCTGAGGAAAAAGGATCACAAGTTTAAGGTCAGCCTAGGCAACTTAGTGAGACCCTGTCTAAAAACAACAGAAGGCCTGGTGGAATAGCTCAGTGGTGCTTAGCTGCTGTATTTGAGGCCCTATGTTCAATTCCTAGCACCACACACACAAAGTATGTAAGTGTGTATGTATATTTGTGTGCATGTATGTGTCTATTTTTCATTGATAATAAATACCATGAGCACAGTACTTAACCATAAATAGTTGAATGCGTGAATGAACAAATGAAATAAAACACATGAACCTAAATTCAGATTCAGCAAAGCAAGAAGATCACTCCAAAAATTCATTAAGATAGAAACTCTAAAGTCAAGTTATTAAACAGTAGTTATTTCATAAGAATCTGGCAGGGCGTGGTGGCATATGGCTTTAAGCCCAGCACTCAGGAGGCAGAGGCAGGTGGACCTCTGAGTTAGAGGCCAGCCTGGTCTATAAAGCAAATTCTAGGCTAGAAAAAAAAATTCAATGCTGTTGACATGGACTGAGAATCAATGTTCTATTGCTTAAAATCCTTCCTCAACAATTTTCAAAAGTGGGGTTTAATTTTGGATCCTACTCATACCTCTGCCATCAACCAGAGTGAACTTGTCAAAACATGTCATATGGATGACCTGTTGAAATTAGTCCTCTCCACCCTCAACCTTTCCTACTTTCCCTTCAGCTGCCTAGCATCTTTGCTTTTTCTCTAGCCACAGGGCCTCTGTGTTTACAATTACCTTCATCTGAAATGTTCTTCCAGCCCATATTTGCATAGCTGGCTCCCTCACTTGTTTCTACTACTCAAACACCACCTTGTCACCCAGGGCTTCCCTCACTCTGCCAGCTGGCCTGTTCCATCTCAGTATTTCATTTTGTTCCATTAGCCCTTGAAGACATGGAGTACAGTGCACATTTTACACATGCAGTGTTGAGTGCCTGTGTCCACAAGGCAAGGGTCACAGAGGCAGAGATTTTAACTTTTGTTCACTGTGGAATTCCCTGAGTCTTAAATGGTTCTTGGCACCAAGCAGGCCAAATCAATGAACAAAACTGCAGATATGATGCATCCACATAACCAAGGATAAGATCATCATCATAGTTTTTTCTCAAGAACAAATAAAAACATCATTAAAAATTTTATTTATCAAAGGTTGATAATGCTTGTGATCCCAGTATTAAGGAAGCAGAGGCAGGAGAATCACCAAAAGTTCAAAGCTAGCAAGGGCTGCATAGTGAGGTCCAGTCTCAAAAAAAGAAGGGAGGGAGGGATGGAAGGAGGGAATGAAAGAAAGAAAAAAGTTGGTTTTAAGGCCATGCTTTATGGACTTTTTTTTTTTTTTTTTGGTCTTTCTGAGACAGCATCTCCCTGTAGCCCCAGCTGGCCTGGAACTCACTATTAAGCCAGGCTGGCCTTGAACTCACAGAGATCAGCCTGCCTCTACCTCCCAAGTGCTGGGGTTAAAGGCATACACCGCCATGCTTGGCTTCTGACAATGAACATTCTTCTACTGTCTTGAACAAAATATTCAAGAACATACAGTATAGAACACTATTCTGGATGGCAAAGCAAATAGAGTTCTCAATGTTTTCATACAATAAAAAAGACTACCTATGGGGCTGGAGAGATGGCTCAGTGGCTAAGAGCACTGGCTCCTCTTACAGAGGACCTGGGTTTGGTTCCTAGCACCCACATGGTGACTAACAACCATCTGTAACTCCAGTTTCAGGGGATCCAACACCCTCTTCTGACCTCCTCAGGGATTGTGCGACATGGGTGCTCTTACATACATGCAAGCAATGTACTCATACACATGAAAATAAAGTAACAAATATTTTGAACAGACTAACTGCTGTATTTTTATTGGTTTCAATTTGAGTTCTTCAATTGCAACAAAATTTATTAGATTTATAAATTATTCAAAAAATTACAAAGTGGGAAATAAGCTACATCTCCAAAAATTCAGTTTTAAAGTGTACAGTTTTCACTATGTTCACAAGGTTGTACAAACATCACTGCTATTTAATTCCAAAACATTTCCAGCATACAAAATGAAATTCTGTGCCCATTTAACATGCCCTCCTTTCCTCCCCACCCAGATTTCTCAGCAGCCTCCGCATCCTCTCTGCTTTGAGGATTTGCCTATTCAAGCCTAACATTTCTAACATATAACCTATGTATTTCACCTGTAGTCTTAACAACATTGGCTGAGTTCTCTGTTGTAGTAATCAAATAAGCTGCCTACCTCAGCACAATTCTCAGAGTCACCAGAATGCTGGTGGTTCTGAGTGGATTGTTATGGTATGTACTAGGTCTGGAACTGTGATGTGAAGGTCAGCCTGTACTATCTCAGCTACTGTGGCTTTACTTCAAACCACAAAAATTTTACAGAATAAATGAGATCCATGGTAAGAGCCAGAGGAGAATGGAAGAAATAGTCTAAGAGCCTCCCCCTCTCCAGGAATGAAGGAGGGACACCATAAGCAGTGCCAGCTCTCTTATTGTGACCCCAGTCTCTCAGTGCCTGTGGGTAGTGAATAGGGGAAAGAGATATAGGGCCTGGTTTTATTGTACAGGACACCAGAGAAATCAACATAGGAGTTCATACATCGTGTATGACAACTTGATTCCTTACTAATACAAATAATGATACAGTCCATATTTTAGTAAATGCTTGGTGATTATTTGGATATAATTCATAATGTTGATATATGTGGAAGCTCTTTGTAAATGACATAATACTATACAAATGCATCATTCATATTACCTAATTTCTCTCCTTACAATCATTCCATAATTCTCAGGAATTACTTAGCTTCTGATGTATGGGAGAAAAAAAAAAGGCAGGTCCCCTGCCCTTTAGGAGTTTTTAATCTTGAGGAGCCTGGAAGAAAGCATGTGAAATACCAGAAATGCTTCAAAAAAGCAGAGTAATACCTAAAAGTCTAACTCAAGAGTAACCTTTACAGGGTCTTTCTTACAGGAAGTGATGGTCACAGTGTGGGAAAAAGGAGAAATGCTCTGAATTTGGGAGATCATGTTCATTAAAATCCCACTGCTTTGCTTGAGCCTCATAAAAAGGCTTAGAAGTTCTGGGGCTGGTGATATAGCTCAGCAAGTTACAGCACTTGCTGCCAAGCCTGATGACCAGAGTTGGATCCCAGGGACCCACACTGTGGAAAGCAAGGACCAGCTCCTGCAAGCTGTGCTCTGACCTCAATCAATCAATAAAAATATAATAAAAATTTAAACACAGGGCTGGAGAGATGGCCCAGCAGTTAAGAGCACTGGCTGCTCTGGCAAAGGACCCAGGTTCAAATCCCAGCACCCACATGGTGGCTAACAACTGTCTATAACTCCAGTTCCAACACCCTCTTCTGAGTACTATGGGTATTTATGACATGGGCATACTTACATACATGCAAGCAATATATTAATACACATAAAAAATTTAAATACTAAAAAAAAAGGCTTAGGATTTCTAGATATCTTACCTGAGAACAGAGTCTAACCCAGAACCTGCCACAGCTGTCTTAGAATCAAGTTCTGCATCCTTTAAGGCAAATTTTCTAGTATTTCAAAAGTCTTGCTTGACTCCTTGGAAATAACAAAAACTTGCTTGCACTTCTCAGTAAACTCTTCATGATACAAATATTCAAAACTGTGTTTATAGTCTAGATTGTAAAAAGGACGATTAAAATATTAGACCTAAAGTTCCACATTTTTAGTTGTGCATTATTCTACATGTTCAGGAAGGAATCTGCCTTTCCATAAGGTACATCATTTTCTTTCTTCAGTGGCACCATATTTTATAGCCAATTGAAGGTAATAATGAAAGAAAAACGTAGATAGACCATTCAGTCTTCCTCATGCCTATTTGTACATGGAATCTGATTTTCATGACCTCAGAGCAACAAAGGGAAAAAATTAAACTTGCTACATATATTGGCTGCTTCCTTTTCAAACTGTTAGCTAGCTCAATTGTGTGTGTGTGTGTCCATGGCAGAGGTTGGGGAGTAGAGCACATTTTAGGGTAAAATGCTCTAACATGGACGGCAACCATGAGTACAGATGCAGTTCTGCCAAAGGAGAAGTCCTTTAAATTCTGGCAAAATAAGGAGGGACAGACAACAGAACTGACGGTCCTTGACTCAACCCTGGGCTCAGGAGCAGCTCTAGCTTACATCTGGGATCCACTCAGGGCTCTGTTTATGTGCTTCAGCCATGACTGCTCTTCCAGCTCCAGGACCAGCTCATCAGAGCATCACATTCTCTTGGTACCAGTGACTGAGTCACATACAGGCAGATGGCCCAGTTCAGGCTAATCAGACACAAAATGACCCAATGCTAGGACTTTGAGTCAATTCTTCTGTATTTGAACCTGGAGCTGCTACCGTCATCTTGTGTTTATCACGGGGAAATTCAAGTCTTTGAGCCCACATCAGGACAGCAGATCTCAGAGGAGAAACACCAAGACCTGAGCCTAGGATATTTGAGCTTCTTGATGAAAACTGGGTGAGCCAGAAATAAGCATGGGATCTGTAAACTGTAACTCAGTAGAAGTGGAATGGGGCCCCAAATTCTGCAATTCCCGTTTTATTGAAGTCACCTGCAACAAAAAGAATGATGGCTGATAATAATACTCTTTTCCAGGGTCCAGAACGATTTGGCTTGTAAGCAGAGGTCTATGTGACCAGTGCAGCAGCATCACTCTCAGCACTGAATCCAAATGACTTTATTGGGTCAACATTCTTGAGTTCACCACTCACCCATCAGCTCCCTATGGAACTTCAAGGTCTCTTGACTGCTTGGTCTGAGAAAGGATCTGAGAACTCACCATCTGCTGCCACTTTCCATCCCCACAATCACTGGCCCTTACGTCAGAAACTCATAACTTTTGTGGGTCATCTCTTGAGAATCGGACCACAGACAGGTCCTCTCCCTAGGCCCTAAACATATAAACATTCCATTTTCATATTACTTTAGAGGAACCACTGAGCTCTCTTGGAGCTGGTCTAAGGGAAGAAGCTTTGAACTGCTTTTCACGCTACCACATACCCACAAGGCACTAATTTTCAAAACTGAGGGCATTTTGCTTAGAGGTATTATGATGTGGAGCAGTTTCTTAACTACAAGTAAATCTGGTCATCTCATGAAAATGCAAATTTTAATTTAGTGGACCTGGAATGGGCCCCCAAATTCCTCCATTCTGACAAGTTCTCAGGCTTGTTAGTTTGTGGATTCTACAGAGTAGTAAAGGTAAAGGGCAGACATGGATTTGAAAATCAGAGGAACTAAACTCAAATTCTAGATTAGCCTTTAGTAGTCACATGACACTGGTAAGTCACTTAAGCCACCGCACAGTAGCTTGTATGTGCTCACCTGTAAGACCAGAACATTACACTTTGAGGACTAAACCTGAAAGACTAAATGTGATGCTCTATACATAATACAAGACAATGAAAGTTCCTTCTTTCCCCTTTAGTTTAGGGTGCCCCAATTGTGGCACCATTGACGTTTGGGGCTGGACCTATCCTGTCCACTGTATCCCTGGCCTCTACTCACTAGATCCTAGTGCTTTCCTTCATCTATGATGACCAAAACCTTCTGCAGACAAGGACAAAACCAACCCAGGTTGAAAACCTCCCTCTTGGCTGGGCGTGGGGGTGCATGCCTTAAATCCCAGTACTTGGGAGGCAGAGGCAGGCGATCTCTGTGACTTTGAGGCCGGCCTGGTCTACATAGTGAATTCTAGGCCAGCTGGGGCTACAGGGAGACCCTGTCTCAAAAAGACAAAAAGAAAACCTCCCTCTAGACCTACAAGTGAACTCCCAGGCATTCTAGGTCTTCTCTAACCTCCTAAATAATATCCTCCATGACCCATTATTAGCTCTTTTCAGGTCCAGAAGTCTCCAATGCTATAGGAACAGCAGAATAACTTTAAATACTTAAAGAGCATATTCAGTCACTTAAAAGTTCCTTCCACGATCACTGAGATGGCTCATCTGGGAAAAGTACTCACCAATAAGCTTGACCACCTGCGTTCAATTCCTAGAATCCACAAAAAACGTGGTGGCTCAAATCTATAATCTGTGAGCACATTAAAAACTGCTGTGTGGTAGTCAAGGAACTTACCAGTGTCATGTGACTACTCAAGGGCCAGTCTAAGATTCGAGTTCAGCTCCCTCTGATTCTTAAATCCATGTCTGCCCTTTACTACTGTGTGGAATCCACAGATGAGCGGGTCAAATCTGTAATCCCAGCAATCCTACAGGGAGATGGGAGATGGAGACTACAGACAGAAGAATTGATTGGAAACTTTCAGGCCAGCTACCCTGCAGTAGGCAAAGCACCAGAAACAAGAGACTGCCACCACAAGACTGAAGGCAAGAACTGACTCAAAATCATCCTCCCACCTTCACACAGGCACCACGGCACACATGCACACACATATCATACATAGGCACAGTTCATACATATACACATACTCTCTGCCGGGGGTTTGAACCAGCGATCCCCGGGGAGGTGATGATTGAGGATGAGTAAGCACGCAGTTCGCCAGCCCACGCTGCCCCCATCACCCACAGACACTCAGACGCAACCGGGAGTCTAGTCAAGCAGGGACTCATTTATTGTAGGTGTTACAAAGCTTATAAAGGCACCTGGAAATCCCCCCTCCCCCCCTGAGGGTGTATCTTAAGGATGGTCATGCACTGATCATGCACTCCTCAGACTTTCAAAGCAAGCCAGGCCACGCCCCCAGTAACTTCCTTTCAGACCTATGCCTTTAGGTCCCCACAACTATCAAATTTAAAAATTAGAAAAAGTCAAAGTAAATAAAATAAACATTCTTTCCCAGGAAGACACTCAACACAGGAAACAGCCGGCTGATGGCTGACTCAGCAGTCTCTACATTTACTAACCTATGTTTTCCAGGATCACAGTGACTGGGTAAAGCTTTTCTACCACAGCCGACCAATCCTTGAAAACCAGCTCACCCAACTCCTCCAGGTCTCTGTAGAATCTGACTGGGAGCCCTTTACTAACGATCTTGGCCTTCAGCCTCCCAATCTTCAGTTTTCCCTCTTGGTTCAGCAGAGAGGCTGAGGACAGCCTCTCCTCCTCAGCCTCCTCGCTGAAAGCCCTGAGCAGCGAGTTGGCCCTACGGAAGTAGAAATACTGAAATGGAGACTCCTTCCGAAATGCTGCTTGGATGATCTCGAACTCGGTGAGACTACAGTCAGGTGTCTCCAGGACCCAAGAATAACCATTTTTTCACAGCAGCGTAGAGATTCTGTTCTCCTTCGGATAAACTTGAAAAGTCCTTTGCCTTGGAGAACAGGAAAGGTGAGCAATCAGGTAGGAAGTCACCGTAGCTCTGCCCTAGTAGGCAGATGAAAAAGGGAAAACTGTCCACATAGTCAAGACAGAGCTTGAGGTGCTGGGAGTGGAGACAGGAACACTGCCGGAACAGGCTGGCTGTGAAGGATTTATGGGCCTTCAGGGCTGACCACCGCAGGTCCACAGTTTTGAAGTAAGAGCCCCAGGTGTTGCAGAAGTCATTAAGACGAGGGAAGATGTTGCCAGCCCAAAAGTCTCTCTCTTCTTAAAAATTGTCCATAGTGGAGCAGATATAAGGCTGGGTGGGTTTCTGGCACTTTAAACTTGGTCAGGTGCTGCATCTTTCTAGGTTCTTGCTTGCCTTTGGGTCCATTTCACTTTGCTCACGAATGATGTCACACTTAAAACAGAAATTCCATACTGGCCCTGTCACTGACCTCTGAGGCTTAAGTCTTCTCCCTAATTATGTTTGTTAGAACAGACAGGGTTCTTTTCCCCAAAATCACTTCTTTGAAGTCCTTCGAGGATGCCACAGCTAAACATTCTAGTTTGTTAGAACTGAAAAAGGCAAAATAGATTCATTTTAGGATTGCAGTCAGCTCATGTCTCCCCTGTTCCCCTGTGAAGATTTTTATGAAAAAACTGACAACCTGTAAGACAGTAGGTAAATGGTCACAAGACCCTTCTTCCCCAGAGTCCTACTTGCCCAGGATCCTTTGGTCAACTACTTCTGCCCTATAGAAATGTAAAGACTAATGAAAATTATCTGTGGATAGTTCACAGAAGGAAACAATTCAGTTAGGCTAGGCTGGCTGGCCAGTGAGCCCCAGGCATCAGCCTGTCTCCACCTCCCCAGTGCTGGGATTACAAACCCATGCCACCATGCCTGGCTTTTACTTAAATTGGTTCTGGGGCTTGAACTCGGGTCCTCATGCTTGCAAGGCTAGTACTTTACCAACTGAGCTATATTCCCAGCCCTTTCTTTTGTGTAGGGGCTCTTTGGCTTTTGAAACAGGGTCTCACCGCACAATCCAAGCAGACTTCAAACTCAGTCTTTAGTTTTCTGAGTGCTGACATTACAGATGTGTGCCCCATGTTCAGCCCTCCAAGATTACTTCTGTCTTACACACTGTCATCTCCCTAACACCTAGCATGCCAATGGGTTCAGAGTAAAGGAGATAATTTAATATATTTTTAAAAGAAAAAAAGCACAAATATTTATCACACCTGGAGATTTCCAAAACTTGCAAACTAAAGATATCACAGAAAGAAAAATTGAACAGATATAATTACATTTTAGAAGTGCTGAAATGCAAAAAATGAACTGTAAAAATAATCTGCCAAGAATAATTTTATCTTTATTCTGGAAGAAAAAAACTAACTCTAGTAGACATAGAAGCAAAAGGTACAAAGAAGAAATAGACAAAGAAGAAAAATAATACAAGAATACATATAAAAATATTTAATTTTTCTAGGGATGCTGAGATGGCTCAGTGGGTGAAGGTACCAAGTCTGACAACCTGAGTTTGACCCCTGGGAACCACATGGTGAAAGGAGAGAACCCACTTCCACAACTGTCCTTTGATTTCTACACTCATGCCATGGCACGTGTGCAACCAACTCACACAAGGGTGCACACATAAAATAAATAAAGTGTGATAAAATTTTATTAATCAGTTAATTTTTATTTTATGTGTTAAGTCTTCTGCCTGCCTATATGTAAGTGCGCCACATGTGTGCAATGCCTGCAGAGGCAAGAAGAGGGCATCAGATCCCCTCAAACTGGAGTCATAGACAGTTGTTAAGCCACCATGTGTGTGCTAAAAACTAAACCTGGGTCCTCTGCAAGGGCAGCAAGTGCTCTTAACCACTGACTCATCTCTCCAGCACCAAATAAAATGTGTTAAATTTTAAAAAATACATATTCAACTTGTCTAGAAGTCAAAAAATTTTTAAAAATACATATTCAACTTGTCTAGAAGTCAAAAAATTTTAAAATAAACAATTATGTAAATTTTTAAAAGATGACTAAATATTGATTAAAGTTATTTCTTATATAAAAATATGGAATAGAAATTGATAATTTTGAAGTTATTTGGAATGTATTTTGAAATATATTTGCATCTATAAAATATGGAACTCAATGATTCTTTCTTAGAATCACTCCCAACCAACGAATCCAAGTGGCAAACACTACCCATGTGAAGATATTATTTCATTTTTATAGAAAAATAATAATATAAAAAGCAGGTGCTAGACGTGGGTAACACACACCTATAATCCAAGTACTCAGGAAGTGGAAGCAAGAGGCACAAGGCCAGTGAGATCTTGTCTGAGAAAAAAACAAAAACAGAAACCTAAAACAACAACAGCAACAAAGCCAGCAAACTGAATGATGTTTGCCAAGCAAATAAACAAAATGAGTAAAATATAACCCCCACAGCAGGTTGTGAACCTGCTAGCTACACTGTCTCTGGCCATTATAGGCCATCAGTGACTAGATTCATTTACCTTTCAAAAAATTGGAAAACTAAACAAAACGTATGAAATAGTGATTTTCTAGCACTAGACACGGGCAGCACAGAAGGGTGTTTGCTGAGAGAAGGGAAGGCCGTGAGATGCACCTTTTGCTCTTCCCATCTTACAGTTGTTGTAGGCAGGTCCCAGAGGATGCTGCAAGACAGGCTATCTGAGCACAGCACAGATTTGAGAAGACAGAGACTGCAGTGCACGGAGCCAAGGAAGTTGTAGGTTGGGTGCAGAGCTCCAGAAAAACAGCAGTTAAGCAGGAGGAAAGTCCCAGTGATCTGCTTAAAGGTCCCCCTAGTCTTGTCTGAATCCCCAATTGCGTATGTGTAGGATGAAATGTGATCCAGCTTGGCAAAGAATGAAGGGGAGGCCTCCTAACACTTCCTGATGCTTACATGGGGCACAGAAAATGTAGAGTTCCACCCAGCTCAAGTGAAGAGTCATCCCTGATCATCAAGTCATTTTTATAGAAACTCTAGAAAAGTAACTCTTATTAGTAGGAAGAAATTATTCCAACACTAAAGACTACTTGGGACTTCTCCATGAAAAGAACTAAAACAAGCTGTTACCAGTCCAGCTGATAAGGAAGCGATTTAAATGCCTGCTAGAGCAAAGCCCAACACCCTCTGAAGGATGACAAAATTCAGACTTCAATAATAAAACACAACAACCAATAAAAATTATTTCAAATGCAGAAAGGAAACAAGACCCACAGTCAAACAAATCAACATGAACAGACTTGGAAATGCAGAGATGAAATTACAGACAAGGGCTTTAAAAACAATATTATTCTCTTTATACACAAGGATCTAATGAAAAATATGAACTCTCAGGAAAAAAAATGAAAAATATTTTAAAAATAAAATGGAACCTCTACAGATAAAAACAGACCATCCAAAAAAACTTCACTGCATGGGCCCACAGCAAGCAGTTACAAGATGCAGCAGAAGAAAAAGTCAACTTGGAAACAACGAAAACCATGGTGACCACAGAATGTTCTGTAGAAAAGACTGAAGAAAAAAACAAAAAAAAACAAAAAACAAAAAACTGTGGGCTGCTGGAAGAGGATCAAGGAAGCTGAGAGTTGACAGGACTTCCAAGCTTAACTCTGAGCTCCTGGCCTACACCAGACTCCACCAGCCCAGCACCTTTACTGCACTGCAGGTAACAACAGCAACAATAAATTAAGCTAAACCCAGCTCAGTTCAATACAACATTGACTCATCCATCCCTCCATCCCACTAGCAAATTGATGGGAAGAGGACATTTTTGTCAAGGAAAAAATGTCATATCTCTTAGCCTCAACTATTTTTCAGTTCATGCCTGGATTTTAATTTAAAAATAAGACACTGGGTCAGTGAGATAGCTTAACAATTAAGGAGCTTGCAGCCAAGCCTGATGATGACCTGAGTTGATCCTTGGGACCCACATGGTGGAAGGAGAGAACTGACCACAAGTTGTCCTCTGATCTCCGCATGTGGGCCATGGCACATGTACACACACACACACACACACACACACACACACACACACAGACACCATGCACATACATACTAAAAACACCAATGAATAAGAAAAAGTAGTGAAAAATATCAAACTATCAATCCAACCAACTCAAGGAACACAAATATCACAACAAATAGGAGGGCTGGGAAGGTGGCCCTCACTCCATGCACAGTACACTCGGTACTCAAGAGGCTGAGGGAGGATGCAGAGGTCAAGGCCAGCCAGGGCTACATAGTGAGCCCATCTCAAAATAAAATAAGAAAGAACGGTCTCTTCCACCTCACCTTGTACTCCATTCTTATTTCTTCTAAGCTGGAATTTCTTTCTTAAAAAAATTTATTATTTTTATTTTATGTGTATACATGTATTGTCTGCATGTAGGTAAGGGCACCCATGTCATGCAATGCCCGTGGAGGACAGAAGAGGCTGTCGGATCCCCGGGAACTGGAGTTACGGACAGTTGTTAGCTGCCATGTGGGTGCTGGGATTCAAACCCAGGTCTTCTGTAAGAACAATGTTAACTACTGAGCCATCTCTCCATCCCAGAATTTCTTTTTTTATATGATCTAAGAGAAGAGCTAAAACTTTATCCTTCCCCCTGGGAAGTGAAATACCGCTCTTTTCATGTGTTAAACTGAAATACTCTTTGGTTTCTTCACTTGCTGCACTGGTCCACCTATATACTTAGGTATGTGGCAGACAGTTATTATTCTTTTTCATTGTGCTGCATATGAACTGTCTTCCTATTTGGGAATATCCTGACTCTGATTTCTGAGACTACCTCTCTTGAGAGGAGGTGAAAATGTCATGTGACACTTTTTCCAGTTTCTCTTGCAACTAAGGTTTGGTCCATCTGGCCTCCAAATTGACTCCTGTGATCTGTGACTGCTGCATTCATACCCTTGGTTAGCCTACCTCTCTGAGTGAATAGTTCTACTTCTGCAGCAGAGATGCTGTGTGATTCCAGAGCTTGCTTATGAGTCACTGGTTGTTGTGGTGTTCACTGTCTTATAAGGGTCATTCACTGCAGAGGCTGCCAACTGCCACTCACTCATATATATGTGGTTAAGACCTGAGGCCTCACACATCAGACAACAGCTGTGCAAGTGACCCCCTAATGGGTACACATCCTCCAGCCCCAGTTAAACCTCTAAATGGCCTCAGCCTTAGTCAACATCTTGCCTACAAACTCCTAAGGAACCCTCAGTCAGATCAACCAAGTCAAGCATGCCTCGATTCAAGCATCAACAGATACTGTGTGAGACAAGTGTCCTTCTAAGCTCTTGAGTTTGGGGATAATTTATTACACAACAGTACATAACACATGGGGTATGGAACCTGATCCAAGTTCATTTGCTTTAATTTCTTTGATACTGTACAATTTTCTTCACATTTGAGTTATGTCTTTGTTTACTTCTATATATTTACAGTTTTGCCCCTCACATAAATGAAATTTTTTGTTTGAATTTTTGTTTTTTGCAAGACTTATTTTTATAGATTATCTTAAACTCAATAATTTACCAGATTCTCATATTCGATACATTAAAAAACTGAAATCTCTTGGGTTGGACAGATGGCTCAGTGATTAAGAGCGCTGGCTGCTCTCACAGTGGATCCAGGTTCAATTCCCAGCATCCACATGGTGGCTAACACCCATCTGTAACTCCAGTTCCAGGGGATCCAACGCCCTCTTCTGACTACCACAGGTTTTCCAAGACACAGGCGAACTTCTATGCATGCAGGCAATACACTCACACACATAAAAATGATAAAATGTTTTTATACAAAAACTGAAATCTCTTGGGTTTCTGGAACATATAAAAGGAATTTCAAAATAAAGAACTTCAGTTTTTCTAAATTCCTGCCAATTGCTTCTTCATCTTTATAGACCCTCCTAGTGAGAACAGCACCACCTGACAGCACATCTCTATCTGCTCCTCATTCTTTCTGAAATGGTTTTGTTGACAGAATAGCAGTTGCTGTTAGGTTTCTTTAATTGAAGTATGATAAGTGTACTAAAAACTGTAGCCGGGCATGGTGGTGCATGCCTTTAATTCTAGCATTCAGGAGGCAAGTGGATCTCTGTGAGTTTGAGGCCAGCCTAGTCTACACAGTGAGAACAGGCCAAACAGAGCTACATTTTTAAAAAATATTGTATTTATTATTTTTATTTTATGTGTATAAGTACACCCATGTCATGCAATGCCCACAGAGGTCAGAAGGCATTGGGTCCCCTGGAAATGGAGTTACAGACTGTTGTTAGCCGCCATGTGGGGGCTGGGAATGAAACCTAGGTCCGCTGCAAGAGCAGTCAGTGCTCTTAACTGCTGAGCCATCTCTCCAGTCCCTTAAAAAACTTTTTAAAGGCATGAAAGAATAGAACTTATAAGCAGGAGGGGTTCAGTGAAGGACACTAGAGGGTAATGGTATGTGTGATGGAAATACAGTATACATACACGTGTATGAAATTGTCAAAGAATACATTTTTTTTGCAGGTAAGCAAACACTTTTATTTTCTACTCCTAGCCAAACAAAAATACAAAACATAGCATTTTCATTATAAAAATATGGAACGCTTCATGAATTTGCACGTCATTCTTGCACAGGGGCCATGCTAATCTTCTCTGTATCATTCCAATTTTAGTATATGTGCTGCCAAAGCGAGCAGCATAACAATTTTTCTGATAGGGTCTCCATAGTTCCAGCCTGCTTGGAACTTGTTATGTAGACCAAGCTGGTCTCAATCTCACAGAGATCCATCTGCCTCTGCCTCCCAAGTGCTGGGATTAAAAGTGCTTACCACATGGCCAGCCCAAAGAGTAAATTTTTAAAAAGAAAAACTAACATAAAGTGGATTAAATAACAAAAAGTTCACCCCTTTAACTGTATGGTTTGAGCTTTAAGCACCGACCAATATCAACATCAAGAGCACGCCCATCAGTTCCCAGAGGCCTGGACGCTCCTCTACAGGTGTTCTTATATGTCTTTACTGCCATTTAAATACTACATTTGTACCTATAGCCAGGTGTGGTGGGGCACTCCTGAAATTCTGACACCCAAGAGAGGCCAGGGCAGAACAATCACCTCAAGTTGGAAGCTAGCCTGGCCTACATAGTGGGTTTGAGACCAACCTGAGCTATGTAGTAAGACCCTATCTCAAAAATAAGATACTTGCACTTATGATACAATTCCAATTAGTGCCTGCTCATACCCTGTAGGAAAAGAGACCATATCTTTATTATTCACCAATGAATACAGTTGCTAAATTAAAAAGCAAGAGAAGGAGCTGGAGAGATGGCTCAGTTACTAAGTAGTAGGTTTCAGGCCAATCAGTGCTACATTGCAAGACATTGTCTCAAAAATCCAAAAAACAAAAGGGAAGGAAAGAAGGGACCAATCAACCCACCAGTTTGCCTTAGTACCTGCTCCATTCCTTAATCCCTCAATGCTCCCAAATGCCAAATGCTTTTCTGCCTTGGTCTCCCCACTGCTGGATTACACCTGTCCATCAGGGGAACTACCTATTACCCCTAACTGCATCTGTTTGCCTATCTGGATTTTTCCTTCCAAGTTTAATTGCAAGACAGGGTACTGTCTAGTAGCATTAGATAAGCACAAGAAGTTTAACAAAACTATAACAAAGGCAGCCATTTCTACTAGTGTCCATGGAAATATAGTATCAAAGTGGAAAACTAAAATTAAGAAGCAGGAGAATTAACTCCAAAGGTGGGGAGCAAATTAACCACCTGGAGTGTCAGTTTTGAGGGACCGCAGGTCAAAAGTCAAAAGTGAACATGGGGGAACAGATGACGAAATCCAGGAAACGGCCCCCTCTGTCTCTGCCTGTCTCAATCTCTCTGTGTTCCTCTAATCTCTCTCTCTCTGCATCCTCTCTGTCTCTCTCTCCTCTCTGTGGAATTCTCTGCTTTAACAGACTGAGGGCCAGAGGAGCCCTGTTTTTACCACCACCACCCGCAGTCCCGCCACTGGGGCTTCATACGGTGAATTCTAGCTCTGATCCTCAGGCTGTGCAGTCATCTCTTTGCCCCCAGGCCATCTCCCCAGTCTATGCCCACTTCTTTTACAGGGTGCTCGGTCAGAGAGCTTGTCGTAGAATGGCACAACTGAGTGAGAAGGCCAGGCATCTTCCGCCAGCCTAGTGCTTTGTGCTCCGGGGACTGCCACGTGCAGGAACTTCTACCCACAAGCAGCAGCTCTATTTTGGAGGGCAAATCTCATTCTCGGTTCCCTCCAGGTGCAGCCCAAACTACCCCCCACTAGCCAGTTAAGGCATCTGCAGTTTCGGAACTAGTCGACTTCTTGCTCGACACTTAAAAATATTGAGCTGTATGGCCAGGCATGGTGGCGCATGCCTTTAATCCCAGCACTTGGGAGGCAGAGGCAGGCGGATCTCTGTGAGTTCAAAGCCAGCCTGGTCTACATAGTGAGTTCCAGGACAGCTGGGGCTACAGGGAGACCTTGTCTCAAAAAGACCAAAAAACATAGTGAGTCCAGGACAGCCGGGGCTACAGGGAGACCCTGTCTCAAAAAGACAAAAAAAAAAGACCCCCCCAAAAAATTGAGCTGTCAAACGCAGAAAAGTGCATCTTTTAAAGAAAAGAAAGACAGACAGAAAGACTAGTATACTCTAAACAAAAAAAACGTCAGCACAGAGGCATCAAACCTGCTTTTTAAGTTTCTCTTTGCTTATTATTAATGGCAAATGTAGGTAAATCAGGCAGATGTAAATAAGACAAGACCGCAATATGTAAACCAAACCACAGAATCAAGATAGGCAAGTCTAAATACGGGAAGCTGTAAAAAGGACCCTGTCACTGAAAAGCTTGTCTTGAGGAATTCGGAGAATTATTTGACTTCAATTTTCCTGGAGGAACTAGTGATGTGCATGCTGGAGGCAGGAGTCTGTGCTGGTGGGAAATTTGTAAAAACTAGGCTAAAGAGTGTAGAAAACACATCGAAGTCACCAGCTGGTCAGTTAGGGACTTCCCTCAGCGGAAAGATCCCGTGGTTCTTTGTCTTTCTGAAGGAGGAAAGGCATTTCTCCGAAGTTACAAAGCTGCAAACCTGCTATCTGCAGCACTGAGGGTTTGCTTTCAAGAATCTACAAATGTCCTTTCCTGTTCTGGGCCAGACTGGACATCACCGCTGCGCTCTTTAGAGTTCGTGCAATTTCCCTTGGGGGAGAGGAACCCCGCCACCCTCTTCTGCAAACCAAACCAGGGAGGGTTGGGGTTTCCAACCATCGAAGGCGCGGTGGAACCAAAGGAACCCAGAGCCCCAAGTGACGCATAAATCAGACTGGGAAACACACGCTCTAGGGTCAGGCAGAGGCGGAGCCCAGACTCCAGGACCAGCCCCCAGAACACAAGGCGCCTTGGACCTCGGCAGGGCGGCTTTCCAGGCCCGCTCCTGAAAGCTGTGTGCATTAAAGAGTCCTAGAACAAGCACAGAACTATACTGCGATCAGAAGGGGGTGTACATACTAAACTACGCTGGACAGACTTCCCGCAAAGACAAAGCGTGAGATTCCGAAAGGCCCAAACTACGCCACTGGCCCAGAGGCCAAAGACTACGGTTCCCAGCATTCAATACGGTGTGAGCCTTGTACGAAGCATGCCGGGAATTGTAGTTTCTCACCTCTATAGGCCGGCACTCAGGAGGACTTTCAATCCCTCACGTGTTTCTCCTTGGAAAGGCAACGCCAGACAGAAAGGTGATGGCGAACATAGCGCTGGGATGGCTCCCAACGTGACTCCCCGCATAGTCGAAAAAAGGTAAAAAAAAAGCCTCATTGCCGTGGCTACCGTTTCCCCTAGTCACGGAATAAACGTTCGGCAGGACCCGGAAGTGCTTCCTCGGGACCTCTCGGAAAGGATGGACATGCTATTCGCTGACGTTCATTGGACAGTTTTCCTCAGAGGCCAAGGCTTCCCAGGCAAAGGGGTGGCCCCGCGTGTGAGGGGCCCGCAGAGCCATCTGATTGGAGAAAAGCTGTTCCGGGAGACCAATCAGAAGGAGCCACGCTTCGGGCATCGGGTACCGCACCTGGACAGTTCCGATTGGCGGGTTGCGGTCCCCCCCACGCGTCCCCATTGGATGCAGAGGGTGCGTGGTGAGGCCTGATTGGTGGGTTCATGTTTCCCGTCCCCCGTCCGCGAGGAGTGGGGGTGAAAAGCGGCCGGACCTGAGCGCCGCGTAGTGGGCGGACCGCGCGGCTGGAGGTGTGAAGAAGCGGTGTTGGGGTGGGGGCGGAGGCGCTTACTGCAACGGTAGGGACTTGAGACTCGCCGGCCGCGCACCATGAGGGGCCTGTGGGTGCTGGGCCTCTGCTGCGTCCTGCTGACCTTCGGTGAGTGAGCCCGGAGGAGCGGAGCGGACCCCCCCCACCACCATCCGGGCGGCCGCTTCTCGAACGTTCTGAGGTCGTTGAGCCTAGGAGGGGGACACTGGGCGGGCAGAGAGCCCGGGGGCCGTCGCCGTTCCTCCAGCACACCCAGGGCATGACGCTGACTCTGGCGAGGAGAGCGGAGCCGGGCGGTTGGAATGCCCAGCGGAGGTCTGGCAGGCGAGGCGCGGCCTCTCGGACTCTCCTCCCCGGGGACGGGGACACTGCGCCGGCCCCTCCCCAGGACCTTTGTCATCCGCCCCGACCGCTGGTCGTGCGAGCCCGACGACTCCGACCCTCCGAGTCCTCATGAGCGCGTTTTGGTTCTCGGATGCGCGGGGCCTCGGGCCAGCGGCGGGGTCGTGGCAGGGTCCGATCCCGGTTGTCCGGAGCCGGGGCCGTGCTCCCTCTGCCTCCGCCGGCCCCTGGGCCCCAGTCCAGTTCCCCTCGCCAGAAGTTGCAGCAACCCTGTTTGCGTTCTGACCCGTGATGACCACCGAAGCCCGAGTTAGGGCCGGAATGGAGGCCTGGCTGTGCGCAACACGTGTGGGTGTATTGTAGATGGGACCTCCCATCACTGCCTTGTTTCTAAGGACCGGTGGACGCAGAGGTGATGGCTGCCTGGTCTTCGAGAATCCCTTGGGGTCTTGAGCATCTCAGCGTCAGCCTACTAACTTTTGCTGACGTTGTATTGAACCCAGTACATCCTTCCATCCCCAGCTCCTCCATTTACCGACTGATTTTTGCAACCATTCCCCTTGCGCTCTTTGGTCTCTGCGAAGGAGAGGGAGGAACGGTATTTGAGTTTTCCGGTGTTCCTTCTTCCTTCAGGGTCTGTCAGAGCTGACGATGAAGTCGATGTGGATGGTACAGTAGAAGACGACCTGGGGAAAAGCAGAGAAGGCTCCAGGACAGATGATGAAGTCGTGCAGAGGTCTGTGTTTGGAACTGTGTGCTGATAAGCCCTGGGAGGGTTGTGGGACACAGTGGCTTTTGCTTGCTCCAAAGAGGAGGTCCAGATTAAGGAGCACTCCGAGCATAAATTCCTAAAAATCATCAGAGAAAAGCTATTCAGTTGGATTGGCCCAATTATCCACACAGGTCTTAACCTGCCCATGGAATGACTACTGGTCAAGAAGGAAATTTGAATGAGGTGCTGTGGAGTAGAGTAGCCTAGCATGCTCAGTGCCCTGAGTTGGAGTCTCAGCATCTCAAAAAAAGAAAACTATGTGGATAACTGCTGCAGAACACTACTGGGGCTGTAAACTTTCTAAGACCTCAGAGAACACTTTAAATTGGTTTTGTGTTCATTGTGTGCACTTAATTTTAAAAGAATTTGTCAATAACCCTAAAAAATGGAGTTTTGGGTAGAGCAGTATTCTAAAATTTGTCCTCTTAAGACTTACTGACAGGCTGAGTGTGGTGGCACATGCATTTAGTCCCAGGGCTCAGGAGGCAGAGGCAGGCAGAAGTATAGTTGAAGGGCAGCCTGGTCTACCTAGCAAGATTCAGGCCATCCAAAGTTACATGGTGAAACCTGTCTTTAAAAAAAAAAAAAAAAGCAACAGTTTTAAAGTCTTTGCTTTAAGAGCATATATGAGTTATGACTTGCTTTTTAGTAGACGAAAGTTGAGTGTATTTTTCTGGCAATGTTAATTAACCTATTACTGTGATAAAAATTAGCTGGTGTATTGGTGATATTTTATAAAGGTTTCCATTTTTCCCTTTTAACAAGACAGTCCAGAGGCCACTTTGGTCCTGACCACAGAGCCTTTTTTTTTAACTGGACCTAAATATTTGCTTATCTAATTGATTTCCTTAGAGAGGAAGAAGCTATTCAGTTGGATGGGTTAAATGCATCACAAATAAGAGAACTTAGAGAAAAATCTGAAAAGTTTGCCTTCCAAGCTGAAGTTAACCGGATGATGAAACTTATCATCAACTCTTTGTATAAAAATAAAGAGGTAAGCAGCATGTGATTAGCATATTGGTTTATGATTGTGTGGTAGCGTACCTGGAGTGAATTGTGTAAATTCCAAAGTAAATAACCAAATTTTAATACCCAGTAGGAATGAATGAGAGTTACTACTGATACATATTAGGGAAGGAAGAGAGTAGACATTTTACCCAGTCTTTTTCCTTTCTCAAAATAAGTATGGCCTGCTGAGACTTAAGGGTAGTCACACAAACTACTTTCCAGATATTGTATATGTAATGATGAAGGGTAGCAGAGTTCAGATTTCCCCTGCCATTGCCACGTGTGTAACAAGCCATGCCTCCTTTTTTTTTTTTTTTTTTTTTAAGAGTAAAGCCATCTCTGTACAATTAAAAGGCATGATTCCCAGGCTGAAGAAATGGCTCACTGGTTAAGAAAAATGGCTGCTCTTGCAAGATGACCCTTCTTCGATCCCCATCACCCCCATGGCAGCTAAAAACTCCAGCTCCAGGGGAATCTGATGCCCTCTTCTGACCTCCATGGGGATTGCATGACATGGGTGCACTTACATATGTGCAGGCAATACACTCATACACACAAAATAATTTTAAAAAGTGCCTTTTCATACAGAGGAATAGGATAGGATGAGTATGAAAACATCTTAATGTGTCTTGGTGTTAAGTGTATTAAATCTGGCTTCCTTTTAGATTTTCCTGAGAGAACTGATTTCAAATGCTTCTGATGCCTTAGATAAGATAAGGCTAATATCACTAACTGATGAAAATGCACTCTCTGGAAACGAGGAATTAACAGTCAAGATTAAGGTAATCTTAACTTTTCTCTTTTTAAAAATCCTCACAAGCAGACATACCATATCATTCAAGATAGAAGTGGGTTTTGCTACAGTGAAGAGTAACCCCTAGTTTACTGAGTTCATGCAGAAGTCTGCAAGCTGCCCTGTGAGTCAAATCTGACTTTGCCTTTTTGTAGCTTTTTTTTTTTTAATACAGTCATATCATTTGTATGTAATTTATCAGTGCTCTTGTCTGTGATGACAGTAACCATTGTGACTCATAAAACCTCTTGTATGTAATTTATCAGTGCTCTTGTCTGTGATGACAGTAACCATTGTGACAGGGTCTTGTGACTCATAAAACCTAAAATAGGTACTATTTGGCTCTTGAGGAAAAGTTAGCCAAGTTCTAAGTTTGCTTAGATCATCATTCTACAGGCCACTTACTACTTTTCCTGCTCATCCTCCTAGCCAAGACTCAGGCTTACAGAGCAGCCTCTGGAGTATCATTGGTTGCCAGGGTACAAAAGGAGCAGAGGCTCACAGACCAGTTACAGACACAACCTGAAAGTCACTCTCACTTCTTACTCAATGGCCAGAACCAATCACATGACCCATAACTGCAACTGGGGAATGTGTACAGTCCTACTAGGCTCCTGGAGACAGCCAGAAATATTTAGTGAAGAACATTAATAAAATCAAATCACAGATTCCAAATCCAGGGGTCATTCAAGTTCAGAGTCCTTTTGTTTTCTTAAGATAGGAAAAACTTAAGTTTTGTTTTTCTAGACTTTTTTCTTAAAATGTTTTATTTGGTTTACTTTTGACATTTAGTCCCTGTGTGTTTTTCTTATATGCACTGAGCTTTTAAAGCATTCATAAAGAAACATGCTTTTTCTTAAGGGTATGCTTTTGAGAAAGGCCAGAAAATGGGCTATAAAATGATGATCTTGTCTTCTTTCTAGTGTGACAAGGAGAAAAACTTGCTGCATGTCACAGACACTGGTGTAGGAATGACCAGAGAGGAATTGGTTAAAAACCTTGGTACCATAGCCAAATCTGGAACGAGCGAGTTTTTAAACAAAATGACAGAGGCACAAGAAGATGGTCAGTCAACTTCTGAATTGATTGGCCAGTTTGGTGTTGGTTTCTATTCTGCCTTCCTTGTAGCAGATAAGGTTATTGTCACATCAAAACACAACAATGATACCCAGCACATCTGGGAATCTGACTCCAATGAATTCTCTGTAATTGCTGACCCAAGAGGAAACACCCTAGGACGGGGAACAACAATTACGTGAGTATTATTGATTCCTAACAAATTAATCGAATAAGAACCCTGGCTCAGGTGTTGTGGCTCATGCCTTTAATCCCAGCACTTGGGAGGTAGAGGCAGGCAGATCTCTGTAAATTTGAGGCTAGCTGGGGCTACAGGGAAACCCCTGTCTCAAAAAGAAAAAAGAAACCTGGCTCTACAGTTCTTTCTAGGCAAATGGCTTATTGTGGGCCCTAACTTCCGTGCCTATAAAATGAGGAAATGAAGTCACATTCAGAGAAAGATTTGAGGATGTGCTGAAGGCTAGAACAAAAGAGTTGTGATTATTGCTGTACATTGAGAGTGTGAATGGGAAGTGTGAGCTCTCCCAGAGGAAAGGGAGATGGGTCTGTGGGTTTTCAAGATTCAAGAAGTAGTTGAGATGTGGAGCAGCCTGGATGAAGGCAGAAAGGTATGGCATGTTCACAGGATTAAAGGACTTCCTCACAGTTGATTGCAGTTGTTGATAGAAGTTTTGGTTAACTGTTTAAAAGAATTCTGAAGGTGATGTGGAGGAGATGGTGGGGTTGTCTGAGGGGAGACCATTGGAAATATTCAAGACTTGTAATGATAATGGGTTGGAAGAGAACAGGTAAACAGAAAATGTGCCAGGAGATGTTCATGTACCAGGAGGTTGTCAAGATTCTCTGGATAATAGCTCCCTGGCTTCCATTCCCAGAGCCTGACATTTGACTGGCAGGTGTTTGCATGAATGAATTGAAGAGTGACCAGGAAAGCTTATGGGGGTAGCATCAGTAAATGGGTGGTTGATGAGTAAATGAAACTATGTAACAGTTTCCCTGAGCAAAATTTCCTCTTTTTCAAATTCTATACCACCATTCATTCATCTAGTTATTTGAATGCCAAACACAGGTTGGGGTTATAGGGCTACAGTGGGGAATTGGATAGATCTAGTCCTTCCTTTTACACGGGGCTTAAACTTACAAGGGCAAGAAAAACAACTTGAGTGATATACAAGAAAGGACACTAAGGGACACCTGCATTTTCAGGGGAAAGATATGAAAAAGACTTCCTGAAGTAGTGATACTTGAGGCAGCAAGCAGGGTATGTTTGAAGATTCTCAGAGCAGCACAGTATGACCCAGCTGAAGAACCAGGAGTCCAGAATGACCAAAGGAAAAAATTGAGGCATCAGAGAATTGAGTTTGGTAGTGCTTCTGTCTCCATCCCTAAAGCAGCTGCTGCTATACCTTTACAAGAGATTCGTGATGATTAAGTGATTAGGTCAGAACAGTAGCATCAGGTAATGTTGTTATATTACTTTTGTCTTTCCTTCTTTATTGAGATAGTCTGCTTTTTCCTAAAGCTGAGGTGGTAAAATGGTCCCTTTGTTTCTGATCTATTAATGCATTTTACCACTGCAGAAACTTAAGCATAAATTAGTTCCTTCCCAGTTTGTAAAATAAGACTTGCCTTCACACAGCACATTGCCTTTAACATGCAAAGGTTCAACATTTAAGTGTTTGTAGGGTAAGGACAAAG